TTTAATCCCACCATCAAGGAATCCCATTCGGGGAGAAATTCGTAAGCATACAATCCTATTATTATTTTTTAAAACATCCTCACCACACGTTTGAAGCTCTTGAAAAAAAAAAACCCGAACGTGTGTTATGTAGTAACTGCAGGCCTTCGTCGTTCAGGCCCAGAAAAAGGGGAGGAAAAAATAAAAAAATTGGGGAACAGATGTACAACCATCACTTGGAGTGATCTAATTCTTATAGTGAAACCTGCCCAGAATTTTTACCATATGCTGCACTGAACAGCATTTGTCAACCCTGAAACTTTCCTCTTTTTCTCTTCGGAAAGAAAAGGAGTGTGTGTGTGGGGAGAGGGGGGAGAACAAGGACAAAATCTCAAAAGCTGTTCAGAACGATTCCACCAAATCCTTTTTTTTCGTCCCAGGCGGTTCAGAAATAAAAGGGTGGAGTTCTTCTCGAAATCAAGAGTGACCAAAAGACTCAGGAATGGGCAATCAGATCATTTTTTTGGAAGGAACAGCCATCTCTGTTGCCAGTAACTGAAATTCCAGATCTCGTGACCTCTGCCAATTTATTAACTTGCATTGTCCCAGGGAAGAGAAACCAATCGGATTTCTTTCCTTATTCTATAGAGGCTTTGTGTTCTGCCCTACGAAAATAGATGCGCTGCAATTAAGAGCCCCTCTTCCACATGGTTTTGCACCAGCTGGCCAAACACAATTGACTAACTGTACTGCATTTTCCATAGGAAACAATTAAGTGTGGCAATGTCTACATAATTGCTTCCAGGACTCAAAGGGTCCTGTGTTTAGCTAGAACCTCAGCATCATCTACACTTCTAAAGTAATCTTGTTCTTGTCTGAGGAGTACCATGATCAAAACCATGCTGCCATTATAAGGCAGATGTTGTGTACATCTGTTTAAAGTCAGAAAACTATAGATAAATGTCTGGTGTCCCACAGCTGCTTTCCTTGAAAATGCACGAAAAGGTGTGATTGTATTGAATCCACCTGGGTTCAGTTCCACGTAGGGAGAAAGACACTGGAAACATGGCGACTGATTGGAAAGATGAGAGAGCGGGGGGGGGGGGGGNTCATGATAAATTTCCTGACAAGCCAAAGGGTCCTCCTGGGGGGGAGGTGGTTAAGTGTTTTGATGGACATTTCATTAACCCTTCTTTTGTGTTTTTGTCTATTTCATTTTCTGGAGTTTGGGTTTTCTGGAACGCTGACATTCAGGTGATTTTTCTTCTGGTGGGATGCCATTTCTACAAATGGGGGGTGGGAGGGAGGTAAATCCACCCAGCCCCTTTCAAACTTTTCAGGGAAACCTCTCCTCAGAAAGGAGAAAGAAAAATGGAGCGTTTCTGCAACGGGGATAAATCCTCCCCTTTCCTTTTAAATTTTGCCGCTTCACTGCTTCCCATTTGTCAGCACACCTCTGGGTGATTTTTCTTCTGGCAGGGTGCCGAGTTAGCTCCACATCCAGTTGCCCAGGGCTACTTGTTCTTCATCCACCTGGCCTTGATCACCTGCTTCCCCCCCATCCACATCCACATGGTTGTATTTACCTAGCCACACCCACCCAGCCATCCTGAGTCAGCCGCCCGAAGTCATCTGCACCCAGCCGACTGCACCTAATCCTCTGTGTCGATCTGAACGTGCCCAACTTGGGGCTCTCAGATGGCCGTGCCCAGCTGGCTACAGTTAGTCATCATAGACCCTTTAAGACCTCTCCCTAGCCAGCCCAGCATCTGGTTTCTATAAAAGCTGAACAGAGAGGCAGCTGCAGGTGGAAGTGGGAGGTGGTTTCTGTTTGTTTGGGAAACTAAAAGAGTCTGAAGCAGCCTAGGGCAAATTTGCTGTTACTGTTCTCCAGAAATAGGGCTGAAAAAGAGAAGTAGTAGAGGTATAGACCTTGTAGTAGAATAAGGGAAGAGTGATACAATAAGTTGTGAGTACAAGCCTTTGAGTAGTTGTGGATGTGTTGCTTAGAGGCCAGGTGGGGTTCTGTTGGCTCTCTTGGAGTTTTGGAGCCTACTAACCTGGGTATACATAAAAGAATCCATGATAGTGTGTCAGAACTGGTTGTTGCCTAATTCAGATTACTGGTAAAGAAAGTTCAAATTTTGCAGAAGGACTGTACAAACTTACAAAAAACAATATGCACATGTGTAGATACTTTTTTGTTTTGCTAGGAAAATTAGTAAAACTGCTTTCTTGCCACTAGATTTATGTTCATTTACTGCTTAATTTATTAAGCTGGGGCTTGTTTTCAAGCTTGACCTTATAGCAATGAGTTAGATTTAATTTGTTTGAAAGAAAAATGGAAAGTGATTCTACATCATATAATTTATAATGAAGACCAAATACGGCTTTTTGGTGCTTGTGCCTCAGTGTGCATATTTTCCAATAAGACAAACTGAGACAGGAAGATCATTACAATTTATCAGAATATTCTGACAAAAGGGATTCCTCATTCAAAGGGGGAACCCCAATCTTTAGCTTACATCCCCTTTTATAGTTAACATAAAGAAATCTGAAAGAGGAGAGTTGATTGGACAGGATAATAGCATACATGTTTATTAAAATGAGGTCTGAAGGGGAATAAATTGTAAGGAGAAAGGTTGTTTAGGGTTCACAAAAGAGATAAGCCAGACCCCAATTTGTACTAACAAACTTTTCTTATCAGGAGCTAGTCTCCTACTGCCTACTGCCACATACCTCCCAGCGGCCAGTAAGATCCCACAGATTGGGCCTCCTTCAGATGCCGTCAGCCAGACNCCTTCCTTCCTTCCTTCCTTCCTTCCTTCCTTCCTACCTACCTACCTACCTACCTACCTATCTATCCATCTCTCTCTATCTCTCCCTCTATCTATCTATCTCTCTATCTACACACACAGAGCTCTCAAATCAGCACCAGATGTGGCTCTTCAGTCCAGAATTAAAAATAGCGTTTGCATCATAGTAAATATCTGAGAACCATCCATTCATTATTATATGGAGGTTTTTCTACATAGAGTGGAAACACAAACGTTTAAGGCTTACACAATTTCTGACGGCTGAAGCCATTGAGTCAATGGCTTGACAAATGTTGCAGCCCTCACACTCTACACAATTTCTATATAGAGGCATTCCAGGTTGCCTCCTTTTCAGTCCAATATTAGGTTGTTGTTTTTTTACAATGTTGTTTTGATATTATTTATGGTTTTTTCCATATCTTACTTCTTTAGCCTAATTATAGCATATAAACATTATAAGTTATGTTTTTATTTTAATTGGTACTTAAAGAAGTAACATTACTGAGAAAGGGAAGCAGAAGGAAAAATAAATAAACAGAAAAGAGGATCACAAGCATTATGAAACTACCATTTAAAAGCTTTAAACCATTGTTAAAATCAAGCTAATGTTCAACTATAGAAGATGATCATTGGTTTGATATAAATTATAAATCAAAATAGGGGTTATAATTCTGTCTAAAAAAATATTAAGCAAATCGAAGTGTTATGCTCTGATGTTAGAAGAAACCCAAACGTTATATACGGAATTAAATTTATAATTAAAAATTTGTTTCAAAATTCAAACGGATGGTGATTTTGGACAGCAGAGCATATAGCCCCAAGTTAATTTGCCATTCTTCTGTAGAAGAAATCATCTGCAATTTGCAACAAGAAGCAGCCTTTCAATCTAGTACCGTGGAACATTTTTGAATAATTTCTGCCTTGTTGTGCTTATTACTCATACTGTTTTTGATTGCTCTTTATATAACAACTTGGAACAGAACTGCATTTCCTTGCTTCGAGCTTCGAGGGTGGAAATGAGAAGGAAGCAGAATTAGGCTAAACTCGAAGAATAATGTCATAACAAAACCAGAACGTTAATTCGAATGACAAGACAGATATCCTAAGGCTGTGATGGTGAACTCTATGGCACATGGAGCCCTCTCTGCGGGCACGCGAGCTGTTGCCCCAACTCAGCTCCACCCCGCATGCCTACGCACCTCCCGCCAACCTGCTGGTTTTTGGGTCTCTGGTGTGCATGCACAGGGGTGTGCGGGGTGCATATGGAAGATATGTGTGCATGCATGGGGGTTGGGAGGAAGCGTGTTGCTCACCCCACGCTCCCATTTTTGGTCCCAGGATGCTTCAAGGGAGACCTACTAGGCCCAAAACAGGCCGTGGGGGAGTTCTACGTGCCCCTACCATGCAGAAGAGGAGTTACATAAACTGGTTTGAAGAAAGCCTCCGAGAGGAGGGAGGAGATAACATCAGAGAGGTTTTAGGAAATCTGCATCCAGTCTAGGCCTCCTGGAGACCTTGGATTACAGCTTGCACAATATCCTTGGCCCCCGTGGAAAAAATATTTTATTCTTAATTGTCTTGGGTTCCTATAGATTAGAAGAAATGTCCATGTTTTAATTTTGTTCCCATTTAACTTTTCAATCATTATATAAGTAAAGGTAAAGATTCCCCTTGCATATGCGTGCTAGTTGTTTCCAACGCATTAGCTCAGTGGCTAAGACGCTGAGCTTGTCGATCAGAAAGATCAGCAGTTCGGCGGTTTGAATCCCTGGCAATGCATAACGAAGTGAGCCCCCATTACTTGTCCCAGATTCTGTCAACCTAGCAGTTCGAAAGCATGTAAAAATGCAAGTAGAAATCCAAGTAGACCTTTGGTGGGAAGGGAACAGCATTCCGTGCGCCTTCAGCCTTTAGACATGCCGGCCACATGACCACGGAGACGTCTTCGGACAGCACTGGCTCTTCGGCTTTGAAACGGAGATGAGCCCCGCCCTCTAGAGTTGGGAACGACTAGCACATATGTGCGAGGAGAACCTTTACCCTAAGCCTTAACCCAACATGGCCTGTGACTCAAGGTTGCCTTATCCTGGCCTTTAAGCCCAAGTGGGGTGGAACCGAAATCCATAAGCACCTGGAGATCATTGGGTTGCGTCTCTCTCCCAATATTCTGGATGTTAGTTCATATCCCCTATCTGCAATCTGGATCTCAACCTGGGCCTGTTCCTGTGTTTTGAAAGGGCACCATGGCGGAGAGCACAGACATGGAATCCTTGCAGGAAAGCTTCCGGAAATTCGCCATCTATGGAGACACCAAAGCGACGGGGCAGGAAATGAATGGCAAGAACTGGGCCAAGCTGTGTAAAGATTGTAAGGTGATTGATGGAAAAGGCGTCACCGGCACGGAGGTGGACATTGTCTTCACCAAGGTGAAGTAAGTGTTGGCTTCTTTTGTTTTGAAAAGTTTTTTTTTTTATTTTTTGTTCTCTATATACAGTTATAGGTATACATTCACATAGTTTATTATTCTTTTTTACATTCCTCATTCTTATACATTTATCATTCCATTTACAGGGTTATAAACATACCATTTGGGTTGCTTTGTTTACCATCCCTCGCCTGTTTTGACACCATCTTCTTTCCCTTTCTTTACTCCCTCCCTCCCTTCTCTACTTTCTTCCTCCCTCTCTCCTTCTCCCTTCCATCTTCCTCTCCTCACCTCTATCTTCCTTCCCTCCTCTTCTTCTCCTCTCCTCTCCTCCTCTCTTCCCCTTCCTACCCCCTCTTCTTCTCCCTTCCATCTTCCTCTCCTCACCTCTATCTTCCTTCCCTCCTCTTCCTCTCCTCTCCTCCTC